GCAATTCAAATGAACTCCTAAGAACTGCTCAGCTTGCCTCTCACAGTACAGATGGTTCTCTTAATTTTCCTTCTGGCTCAAAACAGAAATACCTCACTGAAATGACCAAGGGCAGTGCAAAACATAGGATTTTTATTTCTACTTTTATTTTTCTTGGTGGCTCTTGTATAAATTATATATCTAAAATAGCAGGTGCAGATAAGTGAAGGACTGTTCAGATAGTCTGCAGTGGAATCCAGGACTTTGGTTATAATACATGCTGGTACCTCATTCAATCCATCAAAAAATTAACCACTGTCTAACACGGAATAAGCAAACTTGGACAGGCCACTCTTTCTCATGTCAGTTTTTTTTTTAAATCATCAAATACCCTTTATCAAAATAATATTTAATATACAGTTAATGGTACAGTCTTAGGATAGGAAAGGGGGTGGAGGAGGAGAAAACTCTCTTTACTCACTACAACTCGAAACAAAGTTGCTGAGTTAAAAGTGTTATTTTTGGTCCTATATGAATTTGTGGCAAAGGTCTGAAAAAGGCAGATGTTGGTCTCCTCTGCCCTCATTCCATCTGTCTATGCTTCTAAGAACACTTCATCACTGCTGCTGCCGGTTACAGCCCAGCTTTGGGGAGACAGGAGCATCTCATCTCAGAGCTGAGACTTTGGAGATAACAATATACAAAGAAAGCCTGGCTGGCCTTCCCTGGTCACGGGCTTATTTAGGACAAATTATTGAACCTACTTTGTAAAACTCATGAAATTGTCTCCCATAATACACAAATTATTAGACATTTACATTTGAATGCTTATTCCATAACATTAAAATGCCAAACAGGAAAAACAAATAATGCCATTTGTCAGTGAGCCAATAATTAGCAGCTGATAATTTCAACATATCCACTTTAAAGCAGTAATTTTAAGAAAGGCACTCGACTGGTTCATCAACTTTGTTTTAAATTATAGCCTCCTGCAGACAGTGTCTTCAGAGTCAGAGCTTGATTACCAACAAGGATCATTACATCGAGGTCACAGTTTCCCTTCCAAATTGCTATTCTTATTTCTACAGAATAGCCTCTTGGTTTTCACCTATCAATCTTACACTAAGAAAACACCTTTTCCTGCATCGAAGAGGAAGTTAATTAGAATCTTGTTCCTACAACAAAAGAATTGTAGGAAGGCATAAGCTATCTCGTACCTTTTAAGCACAACTGTGGACTGGGCACTGTACATGTTTAAATCAGTATTGGAAGCACCTGCCATTTATAACCTCACAAATGCAAATGAACAGACAAGGCATGAGAACAATTAAAAAGTAGCCTTTTTAAGAAATTAGTACCAGTGTGGCTTCATATCCCAGCTACTCTGAAGGCTAAGGCAAGAGATTGGTGAGTTCAAGGTCTGTCTGGGAAATATAACCAGAATGAACTTCAATATTAGATGATTTTTATGAACAAAATAGAGCCTAATATTTAGAATCATTGCTATACACAGAGATGAGGAATACAGAAAAATGAACCCTGAAAGATACACAAAGACACATAATTCAGTATTCCGAGATTAGAGGAATCCTGTTGCCTCTAAGGCACCTATCTATCACTAGTAGGGGTGTATGCCTCTAATCAGAGCACACAGGAGGCAGAAAGATCACCAGTTCAAAGCCTGCATTCAGACTACAGACCTCTCCAGAGGCTATCTCAGAAAACAACAATTAAACCATCTACAACCATCCAAGTTTAGCACGCTAACAACACACAATAAACACCTCCATGTCAAATCCAAGAAGACAGAAAAACTGCAACTCTGAGGTGGGGATGGGAACCAGAGTTGTTCTTAATGGAAAGTAGAAAACCAAGTTAGAGGTCCTAAAAGATCTAGATGAGTATAGTAGCCCAACTCCACCTCCCTAACCCATTGTTTATAGTTATAGTGTTCTATCCTAGGGACAAGCAAATGGTACAGAGAAACTTGGCCTGTGCTTTGAGTTCCACAGTGCTAAAAACACTAATTAAGTGTGTGCTCACCTAACTCGGGAAGGAAACTTCACTGGAACTGACCAGGGTCCTAAAGAATTACTGCTGGAGACTGGCTGCTGTGTGCCTTCTATAAACCTATCAGTAAGAGAAAGAGGCCCCCAAAGGCTGCCCATGCTTCGTCGGCCCCTACAGAAGCCCTTCGTGCTTGCTTTATGTGCTGAGCTGACCTCTCTGCCACCTGGGCACATCTGTCTCTGTCAGTGCTTGGCTATAGCATACAAACTGTCTGTAGCTTTGAGACAAAAACCAGGGTTTCTTTTTAACTTTACAAAATAAAGTTTTGGGTTTTTTGTTTGTTTGTTTGTTTTGTTTTGTTTTTACAATTCAGGCTGGGTTAAATGGGACAATGAAATGAAAGTCTGATAATAAGAACAATATAGATTTGTTTGTTTGCTTTAAAAACAAGTCCTCCTTTGGACTCGGTGCAACATACAAGCACAAGAAAGCATTGGGATTTGAAAGAGACACTGTTCAGTTCCAAATGTGGTCTGAGCTTCTGCACTTCAAATTAAGAGGATTTTCATTACTTGCTATCTTTCTCCTCTCCAAATCTCACCCAATTAGATTTCCCCCCTGTATTTCTACTGTAAGGGTCAAGGTGTCAGTCTGTATTTTACTTCATTTTTCAAAGAAATGAACAGGTGTTTTTGAAAGGTTTCCAACTTCATTATCCTTGTATTAAAGACAGTGGTAATGCCTTGTCATACACTATCTAATAAAGAATCTGGAGGTGGAATTGCGTGTGTTCTGGTGGGATCCTTTACAGATGGCTCAGCAGAGTAATGGACCTCAGTTGGAGTGGTCACTAAGTCCCTATGATCTGCCTGATGTTTGTCAGCACTCAACTCCAGATCAGAGTCTCAGAGAGGCCAAGTGCCTCTTTAAGAGAAGTCACTTCAGCTGACAGCAGAAGCCTGTCCTGGACACTGCTCCTAAGCCTCCAGTGATTTTTCTGTAGTCAAATACTCACAGATTATTTTGGGAGGCCGAGGGGAAACTCCCCACAAAAGAACAACCGGCCAGGTTAAACGTTCTAAGAGTTTTAAATAGCATGTCTGTATTTGATTTTAGATCTGGAAATAGGAAGTAAGAACAGCCTCAATAAAAGTGCAGAATGATTCTAAGCTAGATCTAAAAATTAATGTTAAGATCAGAAATACAGTTGGTATGTTTTGTTTTTAAACCCAGGGGGTGGGGGGGTGGGAAGGTGCTGACACATAGCACAAATTCATAATGAAAAATGATCTTGTTAAAAAAATTCCCCAGGATGTCAGCACATAGTACATAAAGTAACAGCTTTTGCTATTTTAATGAAAACATTTAAAGATGAGTGAGATAAATCAGTCAGATAAAACCTACATGTAGAAAAGCCTTTTACCTGTTTCCACGGCTCATGGGACTCGCAGAACTAACTGAACAATGAAACAATGATAATCTATGTAAACATTTAATTGATTCTAGATGCTTCTGCCCTGGTGCTGGTTTGCATCTATCACGTACTCAATGGCTCAATTCTGCCATTTCACCATCCCTAAGGAGTTATCCCAAAGTTCAAAACAAGGAGGGGGAGGAAGAGAGGGAGAGAGGGAGAGAGAGAGAGAGAAAGAGAGAGAGAGAGAGAGGGAGGGAGGAAGGGAGGAGAGGGGAACAGGCATACCTTTTGGTGTAAGCTTAACACAGGATGGTATTTAATTCTGTTTCCTGGTTGCCTTTATGACTGAGGACTTAAGAGGTACTACCCCTTATTCAACTGATTCATTTAAGTAAAATATGGGGAAGAAGGATAAAAGAGTCCCAATTTCCCACATGCTATGAAGGACACCCTTCAGGAGGAACACAAGTACTGTCTCTATCTGGTTGCTTAACATTACAGAAATAGGGAGGAATTCAGCAGAAACAAACCAGTAAAAAAGATGGGTCAGAACTATGTTTAGATGATAAATAAAGCCACAGTGACACCAAGAGGGACCCGGGGAGCATGATCTACAGACACCTGGAACAACCAGAGAACTTTGCTCCCAGTCTGTGCCTGGCTGTAACTACATAGCCTTTGGGGAAGTTGACTATCTTGCTCTGAACCTTGAACTAAATGATCTAATAGCATAACTCCACTCAGCCATGATTTTCAGTAGAAAACTGAAAAACTTAAGCACTGAACTGAGAAGGACATTGCAGGATAGCAAAGCAGATGACCCACAAGGTGGGGGTCTTTACTTCTGTCCTAATAGGCTGTAGAGACAACAGGACATGAATGACCCTTTTGAGTGGACAAATATGTTTAGTCAAATCTGATGTGGCAAAAAGCATACTAGACTTTTTAAAGTCACTGCCAGGCCTCAGACACCCAAACAAATGCTACATAGACTCCAAGAGCTCCAGCTCAGAGGCTTTCTATTGAGAACACTACTTTCAGGAAGAGGTATAATTAAGACTGACTTCTGGGTTTACATCTTTTTGATAATATTTATAATACATACTACAATTTACCTTTTATAAAACTGAATACTATTCTCCCAGGAGTGGAGCTTTAGTAAAACTCAAAGCAGAATTCCTATCTTTCTCTCCCCCTCCCGTTTCCCAAAACCACCGAACTCAGATACACAAACAGGAAAGAGACAAAGTGCTTCCCTGGACTCATTCACATGCTGCTCCTCAGGGAAGGACGAGAAAGTGATTTAGCATGGCCATAATGAACACTCCCAGGAGAAAATCTTGATTTTTATAACACGGGATCCCCTTTCCACCACTCCCCAAAGACAGTAAGTATCTGAACCCACCACACTGTGGGGATTCTGTGGGTGGTGTGGGGAATCTGCTGAGGGCTGTCCTCAGCAAGGAGTCTCTCAGGAAAGGGAGAGGTGATTCTGCAAATCCCTTCCAGCCACATATCGCCCGACTTTAATTGTTATATAAAAGGGCAAACACAAGTCAGGTGGCTCCTCAGTTGCTTGTCCCTTTGAAACAACAAAGTGTACCCACTTCAGAAGCCATACCGAGTGGGCCTGCCAGCCTGGCCAAGGTGAAAGAGCTACCGCAGGTAAATAGTGGTTAGTGAAGTCATCTTGACAGAGGACACTTTTAAGTGACCTTCTTCCTCCCGGTTAATGCCATCACTTCATGGCATTAATAAACATGTCAAGGTTTTGAGAATAATTTTAGAAACCCAGCTAATAAAGCTGGCTCGTTAAAAAGAATAAAGTCATCTCATGAGCAAAAGGAGACAAAAGAAAACATCTTTTTCTCAGAAAATATCCTTCTTTTACAGCCGTGGACAACAGGGCCAGTGTGAAGAGCAGAGCCCCAGCTCCCTTGTGGAGCTGCCCACCGGAGCCAGCTCTTCAAGATGTGTCAATTTGCCAAAAGATTTCACTGTTTACTAATTAGTATAGAACTACTGACAGTGGGAGGAAATGGCTAGGAATTGGCTTTAAGAGAAAGCAATGAGAACAGTGACCAGAGATCAATTATTTGCCAATGCATATAAGTCCTCATGGTTCTCAGAGATAGTAGGAGAGCTAACTCAAGTGCCTGTCAGTCTTCATAGGGCAGATGCTTACCTCTTTGCTGTTGTTGGTAGCATACTTGAAAAGCAGGTTCCTTGGTAGGGATGCCTCTGCTTGAACACAAGTACCCCCGTCGGCGGCGCTGGAATCCCAGGAGTAGTCGTTCACTATGTAAGTACATTTCTCTTCAAATTCAGCCTCTGTCCATAGAGTCATATCAGCGTCCTCCATGTCCATTTTCATGATCCCCCTCGTGTCTACCAACCCTTGAAACTTCACGGAGCTGGAGCTACTCTTAGGGGCAGCCTGGAAGAGAAGGGAAAGGCCTTTAATCCCCATTGTCCGGCGTTCCTGTGGCTCCCTCTGAGAGCTATGACTAACACTGTAGTCTGAAGACTTTAAGAGCTGATGGAGTACTTGTACAGTTGAGTAAGAGTCCAAAGCCGTATAAAGCAGACTGCCTTGAAGAAGCACGGTTTTAAAATGCAACCCTTGGCTAAAAAAATATATATATATATATATATATATATATATATATACAAACAAGGAGAGGAAGAGGAAGGAGCTCTGTCTGCCTCTGAATGAAGCTAAAAATGGAAAGCGCGTGTGGTGCAGGAGCGGAACCCAGCCTGCCTTTTCCAAATGGGGAAGACTGAACTTTCCCACCAGCTCCAGACGCGAAGCAACTTTCAAAACAACTGGGTTGTCCCCCTCCCTCTGGCGCGCTGTCTTTCATCCTCTAGCAGGGAAGCCCGAGAGGGGTTGCATCCTGTCAGCATCCCTGAGCACCAGCCTTCCCAAGCTCCCAGGGACCACAGGAAAAGAGAAATGGGTGAAGGGGGAAAAAAACCCTGTAGCCCTTGAGTCGGTGGGCACCTCGAGCCAGATAGGAAAAATAAAAACAAAACAGAAAAAAAAATTAAGCAGAACTCCCTAAAGAGAATTCCTTTAGGAGCTCTCAGCTACAAATAGCACTTTCCATTTAAATGTGAAAGTGCATGAATTCCCAGAAGTCATTGAAGTGGCACAGCTTACTGTAAGTAAGTTATGCAGAAGACTCGGGGATCCTCCTGGAATCTACCCTCGGAAAAAAGTGCTTTCCAAAGAGGAAAACAAAAGGATGAACAGCCCGTGCAACGTATTCCCACATGGTCTCGACAGATAAAAATTAGGAATAAGGATATCCATGTAAGAACATGCTCTAGGAAAATGTAAACACTGTGGGAGTCCATCGAGGAGTTTTACACATTTCCCCACATCTTCCCTAAATATCATGCTTCTGGAGTGGGGGTGAGGGGATATTTAGTTGACTTTGCCCCAGTTACAACTTAAACTCTATTTAGCTCCAACATGTAAGTCGTGTTGTACAAACGATGCTAAAGTTAATAAAAATGAAAACCTAAGCTAACCCGGGATAGTTGCTTTGCTGGCAGCGGGTGGGGAAGCGGACTAGAACCACTACTGAAATTTCAGTGAATTGACAATTATGTCTAGAACTGAAAGGGTTAATGATTCATACAGAAAAAAAGTCTTAAATGTTTGACAGTGCTCCGCGCACTAAAGCAGAAAGAAGCGTTGGTTTCTACTACGGCAGCATTCTTAAAAAAAAAAAAAAAAAAAAAAAAAAAAAAAAAAAAAAAAAAAAGGAATAAAAAGTTTTCAAATCAGATGAAAACAGAATCTAGCTCCTTACCAAGGTCGTACCCACACGTTTCTCCAAGAGAAGATCCAACATCTGAGACAAGCCTTGCTCATGTCCACCCAGTCCACATCCTCCCGCGCGTCCCGGCCGGCCGGGCTGAGCAGCACTGACGCGCACCTCGGCGGTCCGTCCTTTTCTACGCCGCCGGCCGCCTTGGCTCCGGGCGGACAGGTGCTGCGCGCTGCTCTTGCGTCTCGGCAACACTGGA